AACTATGACAAAGTAACAAAATAAAGATTAACAAGACTATGACAAAAACGTGACTATGACTGTGGCTGTGGCAGAACTATGACGAAACAAACCTGGCGTGAGGGTGACGACGGACGAAAGGACAAGAGGCAAGACAAGAAGACAAGAACGACCCCACACCAGACAAGGGGAAACGAGGACTATTTAAACACATGAGGGAGGGAAACCCCAGGTGTACACAATAGGTAATCAAGACAAGACATTCCCCCAGACGTGACAGCCCCTGCAGCTTTTCTTTGGGTAGAGCAGATCTGGTCAGCGGAGGTTAGAGACCAGACGACCAAATCCAGGGCAGAAGCTTTTAGGATTTAGGGAGGAAAATGCGGAGAGGCTCCGAGATCCAGCAGGACAGAGATAGCAGAGGAGCCAGAAGATGAGGCCACAGGGCATTAAACAACATGTAAATTTCCCATCAATAGCCTGTGCCCCGACCCCCCCCAAGAAAAAATTCCTTTACAGGCCACCAGCTAAAATCCTTTCAAATGCCAGCGTCCACGAGCAACAGCCACGAGGGGGGACACTGAGTTTTAGAATGAGATGGAGTAAGCCTGACAGGCAGCGCTATCAAAGCAAACACAGCCCCCTAACCCCGAGTGAGTCAGCATCTTCTGCAGGAAAAATAAATAAACAAAACAAACAAGCCCGCGTGCAGATTTCGGCATAGACTGCTTTGATTTAAGCACAAACTGTGTAACCAGCAAAGTACTGTGGACAGGAGGTCAGACCACCCCCCCCCAACACACACACGCGCACACACACACACACACACACCCCCACCGGCCCGAGGTCTCTCCGAATGCTCCACTTACACCGATTGTCATTCAGATGACAGAGGACACTGCTGCGCCCGACACCATTAATAAAAAAAGCACAATTAAGGGCAATTAGGCTCCCCGAGGCCGCGAGGGGCCGCGCGAGACAAACCGAGCCCACGTGAACGTCTCCAACCGGAAGGCTTTTAGCTAAGAGATATCCGTGAGACTTTCCGTCCACCTGCACAGGAGACCGCCCGCTGCGTGGATTTAACACGCCGTCCCTTCCGCTAGTCTGGGCCCACGGCCGAAAATGGACAGGTGAGTTGCCCTGAAAGCGGAAAACGCCAAATTCCGTCGCCATTAACCGGAAGCTTATGACCAGGATAAGATTTCAACCACTCAATATCACACCCAAAAGGAAAAAAAATCACAAAAACCCGCTGATGTAAAAGCAAAACAAATCTCTACAGCTTCTATTGGCCTTTTACTTTCTTTTACTTTTTTTGTAGGAGCTGGGGGGGAGGGGGGCCATTATCCATGGCTCACATAAATACCTTTGGGCAAAATGACCCATTCACGGACCACAGGAAGCAAGCTCCGCGGAACATGCAAAGACTTGCCGGACCCAAACTAAAGAGGGGTTATGTCCGCTGGGAGCAAGCCCCGGCCGGCCGAGGGAGACTTCCAGGGATGGAGAGGCAGGTTTATACACACACCGACACACACACACACACACCCCACCCTGGAGGGGGGTGGGCACAGATTAGAGGACCCAGGCATGGCCCCATGCTGCGTTATCGGGGGTAATGAATTCCTAGCAGCCAGGCAAAGTTCGACACACGAAGCAGGACAGCCTTAAATGGCCGTTTTCGAAGTTTTTAGACTACCCCAATGACCATTAGGAGACGACGGACAATTACTTAATTACTTTATTATTATTTTTTTTTTGCAATTTTCTGACTCGTTGTGACCAAAGTTGTGTGGTGAGAAACGACCAAATAGCTTAAATGTTTTAGCTGCCTCTGAACTCCGGAGACTACAGACCGCTTACGGGGCGAGTAATAGCAATGTTGTAGCCGAGTGAAAGCCCGGGGAGGGAGGGAGGAAAGGGGGGGTCAGCCGCCGGGCTGTCACACGCCCCTCTGCGTGGGAAGGGACGTGGGGAGCTCCGGCCGGACTCCACGGCTACCGACAATTGCGTAAGAAACGTTACGACCAAATAAAAAAAGTAAATAAACCAGCGAGATACGTTAGCAAAGTAGCCCTACGCACTTTTATTAGCGTGGGGTTTTGGGCTAACTTTATTGGACCGGGTTAGTATTTGTGGGCGAAAAGGGGGGGGGGGGGTTGCCGCACTATACTCCTCGTGCCTTGCGCTGTCAAGAGTCGCGCGCAGGTCTCGCGCCGGTAACTCATTAAAGAGACACGTTTGAAAAAAGAAGGAGAAAAGGGGATTCGGATACTCACGCACTGCCTCCTGTTTGGGGTCCAGCTCGGAGCAGGCCTGCTGGAGTCGGTTAACTTTACCCTGCAGCCCCCTGACCCGCTGGCTGGTGGTCGCCAGGTCGCTTTCCAGCTCCTGGAAGATGGAGCAGGCGTGCCGGGCCAGGTCCGACAGCTGCCGGAGGGTCCGGGACAGAGCCACATTGCTGATGGAGACCAGGTCCTCGAACACCAAGCCCTCCTCGTTGGGGATCCGGTACCTGCACAGCAGCTGGGGTCCCACCGCTCTTTTGGCGAATGGCATGTTTTTGCGGACCGGGGAATAGATCCGGCCAAAAAGTCGCCCCCCAAAGTGGGAAGAAAGCGGTCGCGTCCCCCCCTGTCCCCGATCCGGCCCCTCGGAGCTCAGCTGCTGCTGCTGCTGGTGCCCCCCATCCTTTCATCTGTTAGAGAGGACTGCTGTGCTCCTCGCTGCTGCGCCGGGTCATCTGCTGCCCCTAATGCTGCTGTGTTTTTCCCTGCTCCAAACTAGAGGTGGTTTAAAAAAAAAGAGGAAAAAAAAAAAAAAGTCGGATGGAAAACCTGGCCTGGAGCTCCAAGACTCTGCGGATCAGGAGTCTCTGGCTTCAAAAGACTTTGGGATGTGAAGCTGTCAGAGCAGATCATGCATGCATGATAACTGATATGGTAAATTATTTAAAAAAATAAAATATATATACAAGATATAGAAAACAACTAGATCAGATCAATCGTGAAATATTACAGACTGTATAATTTTTCACAAGATTTGATGTAGTTTGCTTTGCTGGGAGTCCTTTTTACTCTCTTTGTTCACACACATTAAATATATCTTTAGGATAACAAGGTTTTGAGACCCTTAGACTCACAGTTAATAGATGACGACAAACCTAAAACAAGTAGAAACAAACAGAGATGAGACTTTTCCACAGTTGTACTGACAAAAGCCAAAGCTCTAATCTGTCTCGGCCCGCATCCCTGACGGGACGTGACAACGTATCTGGATCCTTTAAGCCACCCAGAACAACAGTGCTCTGGATTGTTCTTAAATGAACAAACATACCAGGGACCCAATGAAGAGAAATCAGCTCGGTTTGATACAATCCATTGGCCGGTATGAATGGGGCTCAGAATTCCTTCTAGGAAATTGGAGGATTTACAAAAAGGCAGATATTGTGTCACTGCTGGCTCACTCCGTTCCTCCGAGGAGCGCCAACTAACGCGGCCAACAGGTCAGTCTGGGCTCTTCTCATCTGCACTGTCAGAGCATCAGATTCTATTTCCTCCTTCATGAAATCCTTCAACACCCAGCTCTTCTAAGAGTATCGCTCGTCCTGAAAGTTCTAAATGCTTTATTTCCTAATAGAATGTAGCACTCAAAGGGACGTACGTGTGGAACTGGTTGTGTAGTTGAATTTTAAACCTCTTTTTGTTAGTCGCTTTGTAAAAAAGCGTCTGCTAAATGAATACATGTAAATGTAGATATTAAAGCGCCATCCTTCCCATGTGGCCTATTTGGTTCTGGGGCCTTTCCTCCCTGAATGAGAAATGACAGAATGCTTCAAGTTTGCCAAAACTTTTCCTTAAGGTCTGTCAGATGATGAGAAAAAAAAGCTTTTGAATAGTTGAACAGTGATTCCCATCAGACGGTGATGGCAGCGTCTTTCTGCGGGGATGTTTTTTCTGTGGAAGGTTGTACTAGGAACAGAGGTAAAGACGTGCACGAGAGCTGCTCGACAATCCGAGTAGGAGCCCTCTCCGGAATGCTTAGAATCTCAGCCTTTGGCAAAGGTTTACGTGTGGACACCAAAACAACCAGAGGCAGACGTGTTGATGCGGCACAGCAGAGGCTTCTGGATGCTTCTGTGGAGGATTTCAGAGAAACCTGGAAATGGGCGGCACGCCGACTCCCCTTCATTCTGCCCGGTTGAGCTGAACTTTTTCTGCCAAACAAAAAGGGGGGAAATTTCCAACGGAAAGTGCGTCTATTATTTCAGAAAGAGAGCAAACAAATCCAAAATCGTTTTTTTATCTCATCGTTCCAAAGGAGAATATGAAGTGTGGACACTTCATGTCAGCAGTGTGTATATACAGACTGCAGATGTAAATAAGATTTGAATGTTTCCAATAGACTGCAAAAACATTTATTACAGCTTATAAATGACTGGAAATGTTATTGTTTTTTTATTTTGCCTCCCCGAGAATGTGATTATTCACAAGGATACTATTATCTTTAAAGAAGTATGTCATCAAAAGTGAATATATTCAAGTGTGCATACGTTTTTTACCTGATTTCATAGTCTTCCATATTGCTGCCTGCTTTGCATAAAGACTTCAAGAGACGTTAACACGTTTTAACTAGAACTCCTCCTGTACTTTTCTAGTTCTCCGTCCAGGGGTTACAGCCCTGCGTCCAGACCCGGCCGGCCGGGCCGAGCTTCATTCACATTTGCTGAATGAGTGTTTAGCTAAATCCCACCAGCTGACGGAGCCAGAATGGACAGAGGTCACCGGTCTGAGCGCTCATCCTGCGGCCTAGCTAATGTCCACAGCAGAAGTGCCGACCTTTGCAAAGCCCCGCCGCGGACAAAGCAGCCACCAGAGGAGCGGCGTATGCCGTCATCTTTGAGTAATGTCGCTGCGACAAAAGGGCCGACTTGAATGGATAAAAAGTGAGTTATCTCTGTTGTGAGAAGCGTGAGGCTTACAATGTAACCGGAGGGGACGATATGGACAAACTCTTTTCACGCTCAGCTTGTCTATTTCTTTTCGATACATCCAAGTAACTGTGGTTTTTAGCACGCATCTGTTAGTGGATGATTCTACAGTATATGGAGGCCAGATTCTCTAACTGAGAGCGCAGAGTACCTGCCTC